TCCATTCCATTTGGATTGGATGGGATCCCCTGGAATAAAGAATGACTCTATTTTTGGCAGCACTCGAAGATTTATGATCAAACGTCTGCCACTCTGACAGTCGATTCAGCTCTCCGTTTGGTTCGGCTCAGTCAGCCATGTTTACACAATTTAATTGCCAGCCAGTGGAAGTGGTGGTAGTGGTAGTGGCTACGAAGAACGCGGCACGACAGGAAATACTCCAGCGGTTGAGGTTGAAAATTGGTTTTTATTTTTTTTTTCTCTCTTCTGGATGCTCTCGCCCAAGTCAACTGACCGTGGTCTGAAGCCCGAAAGCGCTCTGAGCACTGGCTCACTGGCCATAATCAAGGCAATTTAATAATATGTTACGGCTGCACACAATTTCACCTGCAAGCGCAACATCCACAACCGCAACATCCAGTCATCCAGTCGTCCAGAGGAGGAACCTTCCTCGGACGACCGGCCGGCTTGGATCTTTCTTCTGGCAGCCACGAAAATTGCAATTTGATTTTAAAATTATGCTCCTCTGTATGCGAAACGTAGTGCGTAAAGTCAGAACCTACATAGGAGTGAGAGCATGAGAAATAAAAGCAACAGCTAGATAGATGGTTGGCGAATCAATAAAATTTTGGCCATGATGTACGTGACACTTGAAGTGGCGGGACGGTGACGAGCTCAACGCTTCCAACTCAAAGGGAATCGGTTTTTTTTTTGCGCATTAGAAACAGAGTCTTTTGAGTCAGGAACCAGAAAAAAAGAGGGGTATATGTATGTATGAGCCAGCAGCAGCTGCACAAAGGGCAACGAGCAACGAGCAACGGGCCACGGGCCACACTTGGCCATGTTGGCTGTTGGGTAGCAATTTTGCACGTAATTCGTCACGTAGCTGGAAATGTTGTAGCTATAGCCGATGTTGTTGTTGTTGATTATGCATTGAAAAAGTTCCAGGCAGCCACAATCTGCATGGCCAAAACGCAGACACAATCGACTCACTCGAGCATGAGAGGGAGGAGAATTGTAGGGTTGAGGAGGAAGACAAGGAGGAGGTGCCACCACACCTGGAAAAATTTCCATTTAAAGGCCATTTATTCCAGAATTCTTTGAATACCCAATTTCTTGCAGTGCCGGTGAGAGCAAGTGAGTGGCAGAGATGGCAGCTGCCTGTTGATGGCCACTACTGCCTTCGGGGGAAACTATGAAAATGCAACAGCAACCGGTGCCCAGTGAGAGCCACAATGCACATTCACCAATTAATGCCAAAATTGAAATGAAGCCATAAGCTGGCCAAGGCTGGTCCCAAGCCCCACTTACAGACTTATCGGTTCATTGACATTTACCACCCTGCGATTGACATTTGGCCATAATCGATATCTTTCCGAGGAAATCCTACGATTTCAAATGTATTATGTCAATCAACTGAAATGCCTATGCCCGCCTATCCTGCCTATCAGATGCCAAAGGTCACAGACCAAATAACAAATAACGGTACGGAAAACGTGCAGTTTTGGGTCAGACACGGTACGACCTCAAATCTCCACAATTCCAGCCAACTCAATCGAAGGAGAATACCTGGTGTGCGCGTGAATATTGATTGGTAGTGAGTGGGTCGGGTAACAGCCATAATAGGTGTACAAGGATACACAGGGATTACCCAACCAGTGGCCCGGGAAAGGTGGCCCTTTTACCTTGATGGCCAGTTGACTGAATCATTGTCGGAGCTATTCCAATTATGGGTATCATGGACGCTTTACCAAGAAACGCTGTAACTAATGCCTCGTAAAGGAACTTGTAAGCGATATGCAAATAATTAATTGGAAATTGTTGCCAGGCGACTCTACTCTACTCTACCATTTTCTCCGGTTCTCTGGTAGATTGAGAAAATGTAACATTCGTCATCGGAAGTCCGCAAACACAGGCATACGCAGTTGGCCCTAGTCGCGGGAATACACAAGTATATGTGTTTATTTTAATATCAAGTGCCGAGGAGCTGCCGCCGCCTATTCTGTAACAACCAGCGTTGGCAAAACAGTTGTTGCCAGGCCAACTGTGCCGATTATGTCACCGAGCCCCCAGCCGCATGGGTTAAGGAACAGGCCTCCCCTCTTAGCCTGCCACCGCCCTCCTCCTCCAGGCCACTTCTTGCATCCCGCGTTTATCATCATTACGTGTTCTGTGGCATTTGTCGTCTGGTTTCTTGCCTCTCAGACTGGCGGCTCTGGTTTCTGTGGCTCCGACCGAGCCTGTAAGCTGGCTTATTTCTGCCAACATGTCGGGGGATTTAAGGCTCGCAGTAAACGCCACCATGTTAGCTGTCGATCCGACTGATCGACTAAATAATTATTCCGACATCTTAACTCCAGAGACCTGGATTTTTGCAACTTTTGAGAAATGGTCTTTGAGCTGTCAGAACCGTTAATCATGGAGTTCTAGGGTTAATGGCAAGACAGCCTCCCATGCGAATGTCAAAGGGCAGCAGCAGCAGCAGCTCGGAAATTTAATTGTTGGGAAGCGGTGGGCTGAGCTGAGCTGCTCACTCCCCTTTGGCCTTATTTTTGTGATGTGGCTCGACCACGACCCCATTCCGAGTGGCGATGCCCTTGTTTAGCATACACAGTACACTCATGTGTGTGTGTGGTTCCTTTGTTGCTTTTGTTGGCATTTCAATTTTGCTAATGCAACAAACGCTCAGTTCTCAGTCCTCAGTTCCGTTCTAGTTTCCAAGGGGGTGGTGGCCGACCCACCTCCCTAAACTCCGAAATGATTTACGAAATGCCAAGAATTTGTCGATTCGATTACGTTGAGTGAGTGCCCAAAGGTTATCCATCAGAATACCCAGCTAGTGTGTGAGTGTGGCTTTGGAAAGCAGGAAAAAGACCCCATTAGTAGACTGCTACCATGGCGCACTTTCAATTTTAGTTTTTTGGCTCAAGCTCTTCAAGTTATTTGGAACGGATATTGACGCAAAACTTTTATGGCTCTGACTTGTATTTATATTTATTTTTTCGAAAGTACTGCAGTCATAAAATAGTTTCTAGCGGGGTTTCTATTCCGTTTCCGTTGCAAACCCAACACGTAGGATCTTATCAACGGAAGTTCGAAAGAGAAACACCAGTGCCGCTAAAAAGTGACTTGTTTTCTAGTAATTTACGGTGTTGACCTTCGCACATTCAGAGCCAAGGCCGACGGGTTTGGCCGAATTATCTCCCACAGTGGTAATGGTAATAGGGTCTTTAAGAATCTTGTTTGAGTTTGCAAGCTATTATGGGTGTGTGTAGAATTTAAATCTTTATTCCAGTATCTAGAGATACTTCTCTAGCTAAAGCACCCACATAGTTATCGCCTCGGCGATGAATCAAAGTCATTATTATAATGAACAAAAATTTATCGCGCTTTGATAAAACTGCCATATATCCGAAGTGCAATCCCATATATTCCCACCACTATTATAGGCACCACCCCACCCCAGTTGCCATATCTTGATATTTGTTCAATGAATTCTCAAATCGCCAAAGCGTGCAGATAATTTTTATTTAATTGCAGCAGCCGTAGCCGCAATCGGCGCACGAAAGCGAACAAAAAAATCAATTTCTCATGGATTTTTAATGCAAATGCTGTATGCCCCATATGGCCAGGTCCGGTTGTACGATGTTCGATGGCCAGTGGCCACACACACTATACATATGCATATACATGCCTATGAGTAGCCAGCAGGGGCAAGAGCAATAGCAAGAGCTGCTTCCATGCCACATCCCACCAGCGGAGTGAAGCGGAGAGATAGAAACAAAACCACAAATTGCGTTGACAAGTGCAGTGCACACACAACGAGCACCTTGACGCAGCCTGGGATTTATGGATATGGTGGGCAGGCAGGGGAGCCGTTGGAGGAGCAGGAGGAGGAGTACTTCAGGCAGCAGGCATGTCAACAGCTCTGTGACAACCGCCGGCTTCGTCAATAATCAGACGCTGAACCCAAAAGACGCACCAGACGATGTCGTCTCAAGGCGACAATGACAGACAGACAGCAGCAGCAGGAAAAACAACCTCAAAGGAGGGCCCAGTCTCTCAGATTAACGAATAGATAGATACCCTGTAAATACAGATATTCTATCTATAGAGTTAGAGGCATGTGATTCAAGAAGATTCTCTTGAAATGTGTCACTATAAGCAGAATGAGCAAAAGAGTCATCATGTCTTGGGTTATTTGAATGATGAATGTTATGTATTTCATAAGAAAATATTAATAATCTTATATCTAGAACCCACAGTACTGGGGGAGTGCATCACAGTGCTCATGTCTTTTCATTACTTTTGTTTGGCTATGACTATTGCGTCGGGGCTTTTATTTTCTTTGACTTTTTATGGCGCTCTTTATTTCGCATTGTTTGCAGTGACAGTTGCAATTGCAATTGCCATAATCAGTGCAAAGGCAGACGCGACTCAAGACAAAGGCCGAGCATACTCACTTTCCAGTTCGAGTTGCACGGCAAAGGTGCAAAAAGAAAAGCTGGTCAGCGACATTGCCACATTGCCTCATCGATGGAGCACAGCCCCCTAGTCCCCCATCCCAGTCGAACCAGTTTTACTTGCATCTGTGACGCATTCAGCAACAGTTTGCGATGCCAGCGAGTTTTCATTTTCTTTCTTGCACTTTTTGCTCAGCGATGCGATGATTTAATCTGTTTGGACTTTGCGGGCAAACAATTGCTGATCTTCAGCTTCATTAGAGAAGAGGAAAAAGTGCCACCATGTTTGCATACCCTTGAAGTGGCTATCTGTAGTGGGTAGTACTGCCAGCAAAAACCAATCATTGTAGGCATTATCTCTAAGAATTTATATTTATAGATTCAATGGAATTGTTGAGCACTAGAGCGTTGAGCTCTTCAGGGACAACAGCTTGTATTTGCCGGTGGAAGCATAAAGATTAAGTTCTATACTAAGCCTATGCAGTATCTGCCCTCGATAACTGACCTCAGACTCTCTCTAGAAATACTGATCAGATACTCATTTCTCTATCATAACTCTAGCTTCCATGACACTTAAAAATTACGTATGTTTGGAATCAAATCTAAACTGTAGACTTTCTTCCGTCAAATGGGTCTTCCTCGAGTTGATATCGACAAGCCAAAGTTCGACCAGTCGACCTACTGGGGAAGGTTCCAGCACTTTTTCCTGCTCTGCAACCCCCTGAACATCCTAGCCACCGCTGAGGAGCTGGACAGGGCCCGGGACATCGTGACCCGGTACAGGGACGGCAAGGATGTGCCCGAATGCAAGACCATTGACGATGTGTGGCAGGCCAAGTACCTGTACGACTCCGCCTTCCACCCGGACACGGGCGAGAAGCAAATCATCGTCGGGCGGATGTCCTCGCAGATGCCCGTGAACACCATCATCACTGGATGCATGTTGATTTTCTACAAGAGTACCAAGGCGGTGGTCTTCTGGCAGTGGTTCAACCAGACCTTCAACGCCATCGTGAACTTTTCCAACCGATCGGGCGCCTCTTCGATCAGCTACCCGCAGCTGGGCATCTCCTACTGCCTCGCGACCGGAGGAGCTCTGGGCACGGCCCTGTCCATGAACCGGGCGGTGAGGAACATGAACCCGCTTCTCAGCCGACTGGTCCCGTTTGTGGCAGTGGCCGCCGGCAACGGCATCAACATCCCCGTAATGCGAAGTCAGGAGCTGATCGAGGGAGTGTCGTTGCTGGACGAGAAGAACAAGGAGCTGGGAAAGTCCAAGAAGGCGGCCGCCATTGGCATCTTCACCGTCGTGATGAGTCGCGTGGCCATGGCGGTGCCCACAATGACTCTAACTCCGGTGCTGATGAATAGCCTGGAGCGCCGAGGTATTCTGGCCAAAGACTCCAAGTTGTCTGCTCCACTCCAGGTGCTGATCATCGGCTCCATCCTGATCTTCTCGACCCCAGCTGGCTGTGCTCTGTTCCCGCAACGCTTCGGCATTCCGGTGGATAGCTTGGAGCCGGAGGTGCGGGACAGCATCAAGAAGCAGCGCCCCGACTTGCCCACCGTTTGGTACAACAAGGGACTCTAGACTGCCTTTGTTTTCTATATGGAGTGGAGTGGAGTGGAGAGGCTTTCCCTGACGTTTACTCTCAAAATCGCCTGTTATTTCTACTCGGATTTAATACATTTCCATTTTGCCATGATCTGCCCCAACAATCTGTTGGTTAATTGTTGTAATTTCACGGTGTTGTGCCTTAATTGCCAGCAGATGTCGAAGGGGGTGTGGCCTCCATCTCCGCTGCATCGCATCGCCAAGGAGAGGAATCATAAAGTGCCCGGCAAATACCTGGCAATTAATGCTTGAAAGTATGATTCAAAGTGTTCAGTTGATGTCATCGAACAGGTGTTGTGGAATATCTTGAAAGTGTGTCAGGTAAACTGGCACAGATATTAGATTACAAAGAGGCAGGTAAACCTATCTTTGATCTCTGAACTCAAAGAAATCCTTAATCCCAGGGAGATCTCTACAAATCCCTGCTTATCTTATCGTCCATTCAGGTAACTGGTCCAGAATGGACTTGTTTTGCAGAAGATAAGTTTCTGCAGCGAAAACATTGACCTGCCATTAAGTTTATCAAGATGCTATTATCTTAATTTTATGCTGTTCTGCCAGCAATCTCATTCTGATTTAATATTCCAATTTGTGAAGTGGTTCTCCACTTTTTGGGCCAACGAGCTCGAAGTCACGACCGCCTCTTGGCTGGCAGCTCCCAGTTCCCTTCTTGAGAACCAAAATAGGGCTTATCAGCAGAATGGGGATTGTTGTTCTTGGATTTGCATTATTTTTGCGGTTAGATGGGGACATGACTGATAAAAGCAATTACTTTTAAACTAGAGTTAGTCAGTTTTAGTATAAACTTCCTTTAATTTATTTAAAATGTGATAGTTCTAAGTGCTTTCATGGTTTCACGTATGACTTATTCATAATGACACCTCTGGAGTAACTTTTCCATCCAAGCTTGTGGGTAGTTGTATCCCTGTTCCAGTTGCTGTCTGGTTAGCAGCATAAACTGCGCAACATATTGGCAGAAATGTGGGTCAACAGCGCACAACCACAACAATAACACCCAATAAATGCCACAATTGTGTGCCAAGAATGTATCTGCGAACTGCAAGCTGCGAACTGCAATTGCAGTTACAAATCAAAGTGCCAGCCAGACCTACATACACATAGTTCCACACCCAAGAGCCAAACTATAGAAAACTGAAACGAAGGCGCGCCCCTTAACCACCACGATCATCATCGTGGAGTAATCGCGGCAGTTTGTTCATCAATTTCAGTTGGTTTTGCTATTTGAAAATTGCACACGCAAATACATGGTCTATTAACACTCCAACTAATGCAATTACGCACCAACTAACGTGGAAATTATGCAAGTAAACAGTTTAATTGGGTCGCGAAATGGGCTCAGGCCGCTCCGGGAAATGGCAGAACGGCTATGTGCAACATGGCCAAGTTAATCTGTGTGGCACTATGGCTGTTAGACAAGAATGTGGGGCTTTGGGTGGGCCAGACTGCATGTAGATAAAGTAACTCGTCCCAAGAGCCCTCTAGGGGCTTTGCCAAACTACTTTTAGTTGCTCCGTAGCCCAAACCACTAATGAAGATTAAGGATTAGGTTTAATTTTTATGGTTTTAGTTTATTATTTAAAGAAGAGTTCATCTTTCAGAGGTCTGAACTAGATCAAGAGCCATTTTAATTACAAATAATAACCATTTTGACTAATAACTTCTACGAAGGCAGTTACCGGCTTATTCTTAGGCATTTTTCGTTTGTGGGAAGCTGTTATAATACTTCTGAAATGCTATACTTTGAGTTAATTTCTGCCAATTAAAGTCGGTACCGATGAGAGTTCTGAGAACGGATTCGCCAGCCCACAAGGTCCGTAACTGTACCAGCCAACGCCTAAGCAGGAGCTAACAAGGCTAACAAGCCCCATTGCCATTTTAGCCACTCTTTCGCTGAATCTTGAAACTCCAGCCCACGCGATTTTCAGCTGTTAACTAAGATACATATTTATGTGGAGCCCAACAATAACTAAGGAATTTCCCATTTCTGGTCTTTGTGATTTTTGCAAATTGTGTGTCTCCGCGTGTGGGAAATCAATTGTTCGGTGGTTTTGGGTCTTGAGCCGGGCCGTGTAATTATTTCAAATGAGTCCACAAAACCACACACTGAAATAAAGCCTCAAATAAATAAAGTATCAAAGCCATGCCAAGCCAATCCAATCCACCTCCAGGTCTTGGCCAAAGTCAAGTGGGGATGTCAGTGTGGGGGCAGCAGCAGCTTAGCAGCAAAAAATGTTTCCAATTGCCTTAAAAACGTTTTTGGATTTCGCAAAAGTTTTCTGGCCGAAAAACTTACCTGCAAAAGAAAGAAAAGACAAATTTTAAGTAAAAATTTATATTGAGGAAAAGTTTCATGTTCCGGGGAGAGGAGGTATGAGTTGGAATGCGGAGGAAAATGGATGAGATGGCCGGAACAGCAGCTTGGTGGCAAGCCAATGACCTAAGTGCAGGCACACACACTGGTACACTGATGTGTACTGGTGACGGGGGAGCAATATCCTCTATCCTTTGTGGCAAACACAGTCTGGCACACGCTCACTTTCCTGCGGGCTTATTGTGCGAGGAAACTCGAACTAAGCCAACTTGCAGACAAAGGATGTGGCTCTCTGTTCCAGCCAGCCCCTCAGTCTCAGTCTGAGTCTCGGTCTCTCTCGGTTCTGTATTCTCCTGTCCACTTGAAGCCAGCACCAGCAGCAGCCCACCATCATCTTTCAACGGGCAGGCTGGCAGGCGGGCTTAGCCCAGCTTCTCGTTCAACGTCTTCACACAACAAATCGGAAATGGCCGACAAAACAAAGAAGAAAAGCTGCCACGGGAGGAGGCCAGAAGCCCAGCAAACAAAGTTCAAAATGCGCTTAAAGGAGCAGTTGCATTTAAAGTGCAATGTGCCAGGGAATTAAGGTCAAATCATATACAAAGGCCCCAAGAGAGGGGTATGGAAATGTGTATCTTTGCTACCCATTACTTCTACAGAGGGGTATATCCTACCTAGAATATAAACTATCCATCACAAGTTTGCTACTTTAAAGTTTAAAATATTTAAAATTTATGGAGGTATTCTTGCAATTACACCCCTAAGGATCTTCCCTACTATACGTACCCTCCTGGTCGTTCACCCTTGACTTCCTCCTGGCCAATTCAAGTGACAATGTCGCCACTTTTTTTTTGTGTTTTTTTAAACAATGTTTCATTTTTGTCGCCCCAGGATGTGTGGCTAGTTTTTGCACTGCAGCTGCAACTCAGCGACACGCATATCCTGCCCATACAGGATACAACTGGGCATGGCGACAGTGCTGGAACTGGACAAAGCAACGGAGGTACCAATGGGGGAATGGTGTCCATGTCACAGCCACCACAAGTCTCTCTCGACAGTCACGCCTCACTGCCATCGCTCACCAAACTTTTCCCATCAACTTCACACATCCAAATCAGAGTTAAACGCGTTCATTAGGCAATTTTCATTTTCATTTTCACTTTCATATTTTTCACACCACAGCCCGAAAATTTCAACAGGCCCAATGCAAATTTGTCGTAAATTGTTTGTAAATTACTTGGCCAGCAACCAGCGAGCAGCAACCAGAGAAACTTTCACTCGACCAGGCCGTCAGGAGGAGCTGACAGAGACAGGGAGGCGTTCCTTTTCCTTATGTGGGTCACCACCAGCCGGGAGCATCAAACTCTGCCTCCCGTTTTCGGGTAATCTCAAACGATTTCGTGCTTCTGACACTTTGAGTTCAAATGCCAATGCACGACATGCCATCTTTCTCTCTCTGTCCAACCGACAGATGTGCGCATCGATAAGCATCATGAACTTTGAACCCGACGACGCCTTCAGGCAATGAAATTTGATTTGAGAAGCCTTCAAGGCATATTCTCTTGAATTATAGCTACTATATGTTCAAGGATACTTTATGGCTTCCCTGAAAGTTCATTTCAATTAAAACATAAACACCCCCCAGCACTCCCCGAACCTTGAGATCAACGCCCCCCCTCGGCTCGGTCAGCAGTAAATATTACAGTTGAATCCGTTTTCGTTTTCGGTCTGCAAATAGGCCATGTCGGGGGAAAGGGAGTTACTCCGATGATGAGCTGGGGGACCTCGGTGAGGTTGTTGATACCGATGGGCGCCTCTTTGTGTTCCGAATCAGACTGGACTTGATGCAAAGAGCTCAGACAGAGCAGCCGGCAGGCCTGCCACTCGTGATTAGTACGAAAAGTTATTTTATTTTTATTTAGTTTATTTATCCATTCAGGCCCAGGCCCATCCCATGTGGTTTGTTTGGATTCTACGCTTGACATTTTCCGCCAGTGCGCTTATCAGAGAAAAACACACATGGCCACAAAATGCGCTCCTAATTAAGGCTTGCTTTAGAAATCCAGGTCACGTGTATTTGCTTGCCTGATTATAGTTTGTTTTTTTTTCTGTTATTTTTGTGGCGGCGTCAGCTGCATTCAACTAATCAGATATTTTTCTGGCTGCCCCTTATCAGCTATACCCTTCCCTTCCCTGGGGTCTCTTATCGCTGCACTTAGTATCTGTCAGACACAAAGCTCAAACAAAAGTGAAATGATAAGCAAGGGCAACTGCAAAATGCAGCAGCAAGAGCAGAAAATTCAAAATGTAGCAGAACTTAAAATGTTGCCTCAGAGTGGCAGCTCCCTAATCCGCCTCCGACAGACAGCTTTTCAGCAAAAAAACAAGAGTGAAAGTGACGGAGAGAGCGGCAGGGAAGTCCATTATTCAGTTTGAAATTTTAATTTCAGTTTATTAAAGTTTCAGTTAGTGAACTGTCAAGGTTGAACAGGAAGACCGCCAGAGTTTGACAAAAAAAGCTTAAAAATTAGTGAAAATGATAAGCAATTTTCAACAACACATTGTAAATTATTCAAAGAATAAAACTGTCTATAAAATAAGCTGCTTTATGATGATAAAAATAACTTATAACACCCAATAATATTCTCTTTTTTAAATGGTCTAATTAAGAACGAAAATATCCTATTTTAAAAACCATAACCATAAAAATCCAGATACAATAGTATGAAAAGATACTTAAAAATTAATCCAAATTAAGATGATAAAAACAATGGTATAATTAAGAACTAAAATATCCTAATTTAAAAATGAAAAAAAACCAAGATACAAGATACAATTGTATGTAAAGATATTTTTGAATCTTTTAGATAAAATATTTTATGTAAAATTTTAACCCTTGACCAAAAACAGCCCTACCATACCCATTCGTTCGAGTCATGAGCATGAATAATGAGAGCTAATTATGCTCATTGTGTGGATGAGCGAGCGAGTACACCTATCTGAGATTGTGATTCAGACAAAGTTTTGCTCCGAAAGTTGGTATGCTGTGCGATTTCCATTAATAAATTTGCACTTAACACAAATAAGCAACGTAAGCAAACAAACACCAGCAATAGGCTGTGTTTCCAAAGGGGGAGTTTAAATGGGACAGCAACTAGGAAGTCATAAAACAAAGCCAAGCTCAATGAAAGAGAAGAGACAGAACCAGAGCCGGAGCCAGAGCCCTGTGCCGGCGGCAGAGACAAGAACAAACAGAGCCAGCCAGAACAGCGGAATTAAATTTTAATTTTAATCGCCAAAAACGAATAAACACAACAGCATGTGTATGTATGGGGGAAGTGAGAGAAAGAGACTGGGGGCCCATCCAGAAGAACACAAGGAAGCGAATTATTCACACACTTATATACTCATACTGCATACACTCATATACTCATACTCGGAGGCGGACAAATAAATTCCCAACCAGAAGGCAAACGGCCGCTGTGCAGGAAAAAACAAGCAAGGTTGAAGGAATAGCAATATTCATGTATCTCAGGCAGTTGAAGATACTTTCAGATTTTTTGTGAAAATCTCCATAGGTCCTCCATATGTCTTTTGAAGAGGGCTGCTGTTGTTACTCTTAAGTATTCGGATGGATATTCCTGACCACGCCCTGGAATGCTATTTAAACGATCTCCGGTGTGTACGCTGAGAATTTAATAAACACAGGCCCGGCAAAGGCAGGCATATGCATGAAGGCTGTGGATTTGTACATAAATCCCTGCCAGACGATCGCCAGAACCTCAATAATAACAATAACAACAAAAACAACAAGAGTATTATATAGAACCCAAAAAGAACAACAACAACAAGTTGAACAGGTCGCGGACTTCAGGTAAAAATAATAAAAAAAAAGACAGACAGACACTAGGAGGCAGGAAGTATAAGAGTGCGAGCGAGATAGCCTCGATAAGGTATTGTGGGCCGATAAATATCGCCACAAAATAGGAGAAATACGAGAGAAATCCAGAAAAAGATTCTGAAAGGGGGGGAGCGAGGGCGACAACAAACCAAAAAATCGAACAACAACAACAACCATATAAAGGTAGAAAAACATCAACAAACTAATACAACTGTAAAATATGCAACAAGAAGAACCTGCTTTTGAGTGCAGCAACAAAAACAACAACAACAACAAACAGCGAATGCAAGGAAAAGGCCAGAAGAACACGAAAAACAAAGCGACAAAGTAATGGAAAAAATTGTTAGAAGCAAGTCTAGTCTAAAATTAAAACAAGCGAGATGCCAGATACGCGAGGGATAGGAATACAAAATGCAACGTATGCAATTTACAGTTAATACAAATTTTAATAAGGTGATCCTTACTTGAAAAAAAAGTTTTAATAGTAATAATAATAATAATAATAATAATAATAATAATAATAATAATAATATAATAATAATATTTATTCAGTTTTATAACATAAATATGTATAAAGTTTAAATTTGAAAAATAAATTTTTAAAATAAAACCGCAACTATTTTTATTTCCTTTACTGTTTTGTAGAATCTGGCTATTTTTGAGGCCCCTATAGATGGAAACTCTGTAGAAAATCAAATTGCAGAGCAAAACTTCACTTGGATGGACTTTGTTTTTTATTTTTGTTGTTGTTTTCGTTTCCTGCAGTCGTGACGTCAGGGCGCATGCGTTGAAACGAATACCGCTTTTCTATTTGGCTGTCATTTCAATGATGTTATGGCTTATCCTTTAGGCCCCTTTCGAAGGGGTATTCTCATTCTCTGGCAGTTTTGGTAACATACTTGAAGGGCTTTCTACTCAGGAACTTCACTTGAGGAAAATACAAAAAGTATCTGAACCAGTATCTGAAACTATTCATCTGGTAATCCAACTGGAAAAAGGGATACTTGAATTCCTTTAAATAAGGGTGTTTTTGAGATAAGCTGTGACAAAGTTCTAGTTTAAAATAGATATGTATATGGAAACCAAGAGTATTTACAAATCCTAACTCAACATTGAAAGCGTTTCTGCCGCATATCCTTGTTATTTTTTCCTTCCTGTTTGGGGCACAACGCACATGAAATTTATAGGAAATGTTCGGTGGTGCGGTGGTGGCTGCTGCACCAGAGGGGTGTTTTTCTCAGCTGGGGGTTGGTTGTGGTTGGAGGAGCTCCATAATGGGCTAAGCAGGGAGCAGGGGTCGCGAGTCTTCCAGCGGCAGTGACAAAATGCGCACGAAAATAGAATCTGCTATCTTGCATTGCGACGTAGAAGCGATTAACCGAAAAAAACACACAAGGAACACAATTATAAATTGCGTTATATTTTTGAACGATATGGCGCTGTGTGAATGTTTATCAGTCAGCCAGTCTAAAGTTTTGAAGTTCAATAGACCCACCCAGAAGGTAGACCCAACAAATGCATCGCAAATCCTGATTCTATATGCCAGCACACGACAATAAACAGTAACAGTCTGTGACGGAAATGGTCGCTAATTGGTTATAAAATGGGTTAATGACACCGATATCGTATCAGGAGGGATCTGACTGATAGAGATGATGTATATTAGATATAGAATTGTGAATTATCTTACCGTTTCACCATTTTGTTGGTTACTCCCGAGTTGTTTTCCTGCTGAGTGCCAATATCAACGGATCTGTTATAATCCAGTTTTGATGTAAAGATTTTAATGCGACGGAAATTAATTTTGGCGATCTTTTCGTTAAACCTTTAAAATTAATTTTAAGAAGAATTGATATTTATTTAATATTATGCACTTGTTTGAGACAAAATTTCTTTATTTTGGTTATAACAGAATAACAGATTTATGTCCTAGAAGCGGTAAGAATATTTAGCATGTCGGCGTTGGCAGCGCAGCAGGAGTCCAATTGGGAAACAAAGCGGCCAAGAAAACAACAAACAAGTTGGAACGAGACGGCAGACAGGTCGAGAAGGCTCAAATGGTTCATGTACATAAAACTTTATTTATATTTCACATTGCAGACGGGTTAATCATGCGCATGAAAGATCGTTCTGACGCTGCTTTCCATTCCATTATTTTTCCCCATTTATATTTTCTTTGCCCCTTTTCCCCTTAATTTTCCTTGCTGCTACGCCAACGCAACGGTATTGTAAGGCTTATTTTTAGTTTTTAGTTAAGTGCCTTTGGCTGCAGTTGGCTGAAAAATCACTTTATTGATCCGCTTTCGCCGTAATTATTCACGTTTCTGCACCGAGCGGAAAACAGCGGAGATTAGCACGCAATATGAATGCACTTTATATTATTTATTCCCTAGCCATTTTTTTTGCTCTCCATTTTCTTGGTAAACACACACGCTCTGTAGCGATATACACACTCGGCCACCGATTTACCTCCGGGATGCGATTTATTCAGCAACCTGCGTTGGATTTTTCTATAGCCCTTGATGCACTGGCTGCTCATCAACACGAATTCAAAGGGATTCTTTCTCTTGTGTTATTTTCTACACACATAAACAAAGCCGCAGCGTTTGGCTTTTCCGCATCTCGCGCGCGTCTCGTTCTCAGCTTCGTTTTCTTGAAAAATAACGAGTCGCTAAGCAGTACCGCCGTTCAAGCCAAGATTATTTCGATTTATGAATTGTTGATTAAATTCCAGATTAAACGCCGTGAGAGAAACGATTGTTGAAGTATAGGGTAATCCGTGACAGAGCGGCCGTCTATACCGCGCGCCCTCTACTTTTTTTTTGAGAGATATTGATGTTTTGATACCCTACCCTGTCTACCTAATGGTGGTCGCACTGATTTCTGGTATTCACACATAAAACCTCAACGGTCTGACTTAAAAGTCAGAAACAAGCTAAATTTATAGCTATTTTTTTTAAGAATTGGCAGCACTGGTGGACAGAAATATCATCTGTTTAATCGGTTAACCGCTTTGCTTAATTTAAAATAAAACTTCATTACAGGCCTTATTATTACAACTGCATAAGATAAAAACTGGTTTTCAAAAGGAATGTTTAGAAATTCTTTTTTGAAAGTAATATCGCAAAAACATTGTTTGAAGTTATGATATTTCCTAAATTTTGCATGTCCCTTCAAAAATTTTCCATATTATATTGTTTTTACAATGTTTCTTACGCTGCATTTTTACATTTTTAAAACTGCTACCTAATCTACACTTTTAATTAGACAAAATTAAGAAAAACATGTAGTATTTATATTTTATGAATCAGTGTTGGTAAACTTTGTTTGACCACACTCTACCCGATACTTGGTTAGTCGCAAATTTAAATGCTGATTAAAAAATTTAAATAATGAAAGTCATTTAACACCTAATTCGTTCTTTTTAAAATACCTTTAAATATTACCCTTAAAATACTCTCATTTTTTGGCAAGAAATAACTGGCAGGGCGGAAAACGCCTAAACAGGAAAAGTGTAGACCAAGAATTTATTGATTTTATAAAATCTTGTAAAAAAAACTATCTTTTATGTTTCAGTCTCAGGAACTAATATCTGATAAACAAGCTTCTTTTCCATATATGTATGTCACCCAAGCCATATGATATACATAAATGTTTGATAGCAAAACACTCCCAACAACCTGTTACACATATGGTAAATAATTTATGAGCAACTGGCATAACATAGAATTTTCAATTGCTTAACTTAAAACTCTGAATATCAAATGGAACTATGAATAACAGTGTATTTCTTGCAATGCTTCTTCTACATCACACGGTCGGCGGTCAGGGCACGGCCATCTTATCAGCTAAGAACCTTAATTCTATGTAAATGGTTTTCAGGAAACTCTCTAAGTGATCAGAACTCGCCGCTCTTGCCATCGCAGGCCACGATTTTCACCTTGTCCACCTTGACAAACTCGTGTACCTCGCGGAACTCCACATCGTTAAGCATCAGAGTCCAGACATTGTCGCAAAAGCGGTAAGTATTCAGTTTGCCTGCCTTGAAAGTAACCCGGGCCTTGACCCTCTGGTTTAGGGCATTGTTAATGCTTTTGTCGAACTGCAGCAGCACCTTGAAAGCCAAGTTGGGCGTGATCTGACCATACTGTGGGGCGGCAATCCATAATTAGCAAAATGTACTTTTCTGTGTTGCATCCGGAACTCACCTGAATCAACTCATCCAGGCTCTCCTGCAGGGTGTTGCCCAGAGTGGTGTTGCGGTACAGCTGGTAAGACATCTCAAGTTGTGCTTGTGGTGTTCAATGCGTGGATTTTATAACTTCTTAAAAAATTTGCAGCTGCGTTTCTGTTTTTCTGTTTTAGAGTGACCAAAGATAAAAAACTAGCGCCGTCTGTGGCATTTTTAACCACAAATTAAATACTACAAATTTTTCTTACCATTTTTACTAATAATAAAACTAATTTTAGGAGTTGTATTCAAAATATTAAAAATTCAAAATTCAAATTGGGAAGCAAAAACAGTCGAATCGTTATCCATACTGTCTTAAACTTCAAACGAAAGGGCAAGAATTGAAAAGGATCTATTGGGTAAGTACCAAATTCTGTCGCTAGAGGGTACCATGTTAGGCGCTTTAATTTAAAGTTTAAATTTGTGCGCAGTCTCCTAAAAAATAAGAGAAAATATAATGGGTTGTTGCTGTATTTTATTATTAAAATAAACAACAAATAATGGTAAAATTAAATTTTCTTCTTATAATAATGTTTCAACTCCTCGCGATTGTGGTGACTGTGTGATGAAGAACTTTTGGATTTCTCGATTCGTGCACTCGTGGGCGGTAGTTCAGGAATATTCAGAGGCGGTTGGAAATTTGGTGCACTCGTTGGCGGCATCTTTGGAATATTCAGAGGCGGTTGGAAATTTGGTGCACTCGTTGGCGGCAGCTTTGGAATATTCAGAGGCGGTTGGAAATTTGGTACACTCGATGGCGGTAGGTTAGGAATATTCAGAGGCGGTTGGAAATTTGGTGCACTCGTTGGCGGTAGATTAGGAATATTCAGAGGCGGTTGGAAATTTGGTGCACTCGTTGGCGGCATCTTAGGAATATTCAGAGGCGGTTGAAAATTTGGTACACTCGATGGCGGTAGGTTAGGAATATTCAGAGGCGGTTGGAAATTTCGTCCACTCGTGGGCGGCAGTTCAGGAATGTTCAGAGGCGACTGGAAATTTCGTCCACTCGTGGGCGGCGGTTCAGGAATATTCAGAGGCGGCTGGAAATCTTGTGGACTCGTTGTCGGTAGCTTAGGAATATTCAGAGGCGGCTGGAAATCTTGTGGACCCGTTTCCGGTAGCTTAGGTATATCCATAGGAGACTGGATACTTCGTACTGTCGTTTCCGGTAGTTTAGGGATATCCAGATGCGGCTGGACATTCGGACTCTGTGCTATTGGCGTCTTTATAGGCTCGGGTATTTTTTCAAGTTTTTCTTCTGCTTTTTTTATCTCTTTGACTTCCACTACGGATCGGGAATGCTCCTTGGCCTTGGCTATTAGTTCCCTGATCTTGGGGAGCCTTCGTTCGAAGATCTCATTGGATTTTTTCACAGATACCTTTACCAAATTATCGTCAGGGAACCAGCAAAGTGCACTCTGGAACATTTTTCGTACGGAGTGCACGAAAGTATTTATATTTTCAAACTTATCGGAAGTCAGACGCTCTTCCAGTACTCTCCAGTCTATCAGCTCCTCCTGATCAGGGTCTGGGACCGGCAACGGGCTGTAGCGAGCCCATAAGTCGGCGCGGTTGAAGGCCCAGGTGAATTGGCGACGTTTCCTTTTACGCATTGCCTTCACCAGGTGAATAGCGTGGCTCTTTTCGATCAGCCTGTCCAGCTCCTTGTAACAAATAATGGGCGGAGGCGGAGGCGGTGGCGGCGGTGGAGTAGGTGACTTTATTGGTTCCTCCGGTTTCTCAGGTTCTGTAGAGCAAACTGTAGTCGGAGAAGGTGGTAACGGTGGAGGGGGTGGCATATGAATTGGGCCACGAATCAGTGAGGGCGGTAGTCCAGATAGGGGGTTCAAAATCGGCGGAGTTTTAGGAAGACTCTTCCTAATATCTTGACGTTCCTTTACCATCGCCATCGGGGTCGTCATGTTGCTGAATTGCATGAATGTGTTGAGAGGATTAATCAAGGTGTCGGGCATAAAAGATGGCATCACGTTCGGCATCATGCCGGGAAGCGAGGGCATTGCATGAGGTATTAACGAAGGTCCAACTTGGAGGGGCTGCGCAAAGGGAAAGGGTGGAACCATCGGTTGAAAGATGGAAGGCGCAGACACAGGCTTCGACTTCAGATCCTGAAACGGATCCAACACAGGCTCGGACTTCGGAGCCTGATACGGTTCCAAATCAGGCTTTGACTTTGGAGCCTGAAACGGATCCAACACCGGCTTGGACTGCGGAGCCTGATACGGTTCAAAATCAGGCTTTGACTTTGGAGCCTGAAACGGATCCAACACCGGCTTGGACTTCGGAGCCTGACACTGACCCAACACAGGCTTAGACTTCCGAGCCTGAAACGGCTCCTCCACCGCCTTTCGCTTTCGTTTGTCCACCTTCGGCTGCAGCTCCCACTCTTTGGACAGATCTATGGTCGCCAAGCGGTTATAGAAAGCGGCTTTGAGTTCTTTCCCCGCTTGGTTGACCGGTGTGCCCTCCATGTTGTAAAAGAAGCAGTTGTCAAAAACCAAATTGAAGTCCTGCAATGCCTCTTCAGCTTCCCAGTAGTAGTTATTTTTTAATCGCTTCTTAATCGTACCCAGATCCATAGGTCGTTTGATGACTTGATGGTAATCGGGCACTCGTAAGCTGATCGCATCTACGGGATTACGAAAATGATACGACCAACGGCTCCGCCAGATATAATTCAAGACGGATTTAAGGTCCTCGAGAAGATTGGTCCGCCGGCCTGGTCGGTTAGGGGGTGGTATCACAGGCGGCTGAACAATCCCATTTACGGGATGGATATACGGCTCGTTCCGAGGGGGAGGCCTATTGTTTTCTTTCCAGGGCCCTTCCATTATAGACTTCTAAAGAAGTATACAAATTAATTAAATAATAAAAAAAAAATCACAAAATTCAAAATCACATTTTAGATTTTATTTCAAAATTTAAAATTCACTTATTTTTTCGTGTTCTCGGCTCGAGATCTCGGAGAAGACTGAAGCAATGTTGTACGTTCAACATTTTTACACCTTTTTGACGTTAAAGTCAAGGGGCTCTTAAAATCTCTTTAAATTTTGGATTCGTTATCTATAGAAACTTGTAAACAATATTTGATGTTATAATGGGAAATTAAACTTTTTTATAAATTATTTAGTGAAAACATTACCATATAATCTGCCATTTATTTTCATTAAAAAATCCAGTAAAAATTGATTTTATTTTTAACCGTCTATAGTGGTTCCTTTGACGAATTATTTTTCCAAAGAAATTTGAGGAAAGCTTGGCGTTTTCCAAGCATTTTTTTTTTAAGGGGTTATATACCTTCTTTGTCGAAGAAAATGAGCAAAGTTCGGATTTTTTTTTAGGTATATAGCAATTATTTAATTAAACGGATGTTTTAATATTTTTATAGTACACTTTATTAACAATGTTTGTGCAAAATTTGGTGGAAAAATATTAAATAGTTTTTAAGGGGTGGCTGTTTCCCTTAGAGGCCTTTTTTTTTTTAGAGCCTTGCGGTGACAGTTCCCCAGGTCAAACAGGTCAACTTAAACCATAAAAGTAAAAATATTTCATTAGTTTAGAGTAATCTCTTGTGCTTGAACGATCGATTTTAAAATTTTTTGTTTTTGTTTGGATATGGCAGCGTTTTATGCTAAAAATGAACGTTTTGGTCTCTAGAACTTTTACTAAAAAATTTATTTCGCCGCAAAAAAAGTTTGCGCGTGAAAAGTCGATCGTTCAAGCACAAGAGAATTTCATTACGAACATTTAAAAAAAAATTTGAAGTAAATCGGTTCAGTAGTTTTCCGCCAATCCATGTCACCGCAAAGTCATTTTTCAAGAAACACCATTTCGAGATATTCGCGTTTAAAGTTTCAAGTTCAGTTCAAGGCCGCAACGAGGCGTGCGATTAGGAGCGCTGTAACTTTTTTTCTACTGCTCCAATCTCTATGAAAATTTGGGAGAATGTTCTCAAGGAGTTGTTCTTCAATATAAACCACTAAAAAAATTTTCTTTTTTTTTAAAATAAAAAAGGTATATAACCCCTTAAGGCAGCACAAATAAACCATCGCAGATGTTTCGAAAAAAAAAAATATTTGAAGGAGCTATGATTAAAAATCGATTAGTGCTAACACTAGCCTCCTATGTTTATTAGGTTTTGTTTTGTGTCTTATGTCAAATAGGTTAAATTTACATATCCCTAGAATGACAAATAATCTAATGATCAACAAATAATCAACGATGAAAAAATAATAAATCTTCCGATACTTGAGATGCTTCCTGGTTTGTATAAACTCAAGATGAAGATGCTTATAATAATTCTATTGAAAAATAATGAGAATAGCCTCTTGTGCCTCATCGAATGAAGTCCCTTGATTTCACCAACAGGTTAATCTACCTTACAAAATGGATTTTTCATAGTTAGTAAGAAGCATAAAGAAGTCTGCTATGATACTCATTCAGCATTCAGTTTTTGCAATGAACCCCAGCTGGTTGATTTTTCTTTTCGGCCTAACAGCTGCATATAAGAAAATGCGCTTTGCCACATCGACAAACCAAATGGCGGAGCTGCTGCAACTCGAAGACGAATTAATTCTGGATATGAGCCAATACGTGGAAGCCCTTCAGCTTAAAATTAATACAATGAGAAGGTAGGTTAACATATCACTCTTATTGAGACATGCCTTAAAAGTCATAATCTTAAGGTTTCAAAAGGAATGGGAACACCGACTGGATCAGGCTGACGATAATCCAACAACTCATGTTGCGAATCCACTCGTAAGTTTTCCTCTTTTACGACGAATGCATATAGACACACCAAAGTGGTTAAAATACGCTGAAGAGGATGTTAGCTATGGTAGTGTATTTCTGACTATAATTACATTAATTTAATAAAAAAAGTGTTTTTGGCAGACAAATTTGTGAATCAGGATCTAAGGCACATTAATCCAATGGAACTTCAAGAAGCTGCTAATGGCTTTTTCCAATTTTTTAACGTTTACAGCCTAAAGGAAAATGAGGTGGCTAATGGTAAAATATATGGCAAGCAGTATAGGTAAGTTCTTTTTATTTAATTTTCATATTTATATTGAAAATAATTTTTTCTTCAGCTCTAGATTAAGTTCAGCGGATTGCTTAGCTTTGGGGAAACACTTGGAGAATCTTAAACTAGGCAATCAGGCTGTCAATTGGTTTAATATCTCCCTTGATCGCTATGAGGATAGATTGGATCCTATTCATAAGATATTAGAATCAAGTCGTTCTCAAATTTGGCAGAGTATGGGAATAACTTTAATAAAAATGCGTAAGTAGTGAAGATTTGATAATAGTTCTATTAAAATTATATTTTTTTGCAGAAAAACTGCCAGAGTCCTATGTAGCCTTTAAAAAGTCCCTAGAACTAGCCTCAAAGCATGATAATACCTGGTCGGCTTATCACTTGTTAAACAACTTGGCCCATATGTTTATTCATTTGGAAACGTGTCGTGGTAGGAATACGACTCCAAACAAATCGAATTTGCGATGCCGCTACTTCACCGAAGGATCCCCATTCCTTCGATTGGCGCCGCTTAAGTTGGAGCAGCTTAATCTAGAGCCTTTTATTGGGATTTTCCATGATGTAATCTCCAAAGATGAGCAGGAGGCTCTGATAAATCATACAAGCAACCGGTTAAAACAACTAAACGCGCATAGAGCGGTTATGGAAGCCAAAGTTGAATTAAATGCTTCGAAACATGTCGGAAGGATACATCAAAGGATTGAGGATATGACTGGACTTGATTTGGAAGAAAGTCCACCCCTAAGCGTCCAAAATTATGGAATAGGTGGTCAGCACACTATTCATCTGGATTGTGAGCAATTTACGGTGTGGATATATATGTTTAAACTTAATAAACATTCTATTTTATAAATTCTTTTTCAAAGGACTCAGGAGAGCCCCAGCCTCAATCTTATAGGTCGGCAAAGGTGCTATTTTATGTAAGTTTTTAAATTTATTTTAACATTTTGAAACATAATTTGTAATTATTTGTACCTCCCCCAGTTGAGTGATGTACAAATGGGTGGTTATGCCTCTTTTCCGGAACTAGGCTTTGGCTTCAAGCCCTCTAGAGGATCCGCCTTGGTCGCCCACCAACTGGATAACGCTGCTAATTGTGATATTCGCAGCCTGCAGGCCTCCTGCCCTGTGCTCCTTGGAAGCCACTGGGGTAAGTACATCATCGATTTTCCCTTCGTTCTTACCAAATAATGTCCAACAACACGCCCAACAGTGGCCAGCAAGTGGATCAGTGGGTCAGGACAATGGCGCAGGAAGCCCTGTCGGATGTAAAGAAAAGCGCGATTTTCCATTCGGTTTTTCTTTTTCCACTTTTGCGATAATTTATTCAATAATTTTGTCGGTATTTATATTATGATAATAAATTTTATGCACTATTTTATAGTATTCATATTTAATTTATATGCAATGTAACATTATTTTTGGGGTTTGGGGTTGGGAGGCCAAAGGTTTGGGGTTTTCATCCAATTGTCCACTTTTGATATCCTGTTTTTCGTGTCGCTTTGGGAGCGGGAAAAGAGGGGCGGGGAGGGGCAGTGGAGGGAGAGTTGCGCGGGTGGGAACAACGCGTTTCCTGATACGTATGCAAATGATATTTTTGAGGCAGCGGAGGTGCCTCCGGCAATATGTATGTGTGTGTTATTTGTGTGTGTGCGCTAGAAGGAGTCGGGAGACAGAACCGGAAACGGAAATGAATAACAAGAACGCAGGCGAGAGAGAGAGATGTCGATGTCGGTATCCGAGGGAATCTGTAGGAATACTTGATTGCCGGCTCTTCTTCTCTCAGTTTTGATATCACGCTCCCCCAGCACATGGCTTTATCCGCATCCACAGCAGCAGCAGAAGCGTTGCAAGCAGGGGATTCCACCTCGTGTGTCTCCTGCAGGCTGAATTTCGCGACTCCTCGAGACCTGTGACAACATAAAGAGAAGACGGAGCATATTAGCTTGATTAGAGCATTGAATTGGATTGAATCACTGCTGGAGTTCAGGATATAACCTTACACTTACTACCCTTAAATCCTTAAAGACTTAAATATCTATTTTCCTCTACGTTAAGTATTTGATTTTATTTCTCATTTATAGACTCACCTCCGATATAGTTCAGATGATCATCGTTGCTGGCAGAGGCGCCCGGATGAAGCTTGATTTCTGCAGCACACAACCGACAAAAGCACACATCCATACCAGAAGGCACACACACGCAGAGACAATGTGGAAGAGAAATACATGCAAAAGCAAAACAAATTAAAAACAGTGAGTGAGCTGGTGAGATGGCGGAGCAGAGATTGCGTATACGCACCGTATAACCGCAATGTGCCCTCGGCACGGCCCAGCGAGTTTGTGCTGACGCAGTGATAGGTGCCCACGTCGGAGGGCGAGAAGGAACGCACCACCAGCAGCATGACGCCCCGATAGCCATCGCGCCGCTCCGTTATCCCGTACTTGGGCCTGCATCAGAGATGGGTCCGTGGAAAGCAATGGAGGAATGGAATGGTTTACAGATGGTTAAAGATATGCCGAAGCGATGGAATGCCATGAAACTCACCCGTCGAGCAGCATTTCGGGACCCGGCGAACCGGACTCCAAGCTGGTCGCCGAGACGCTGGCGAATCCATTCGAGGTTCGCGCTCCCTTCAGCCAGTAGGATACAGGTGACGGGGAGGCCTCCACCTGGCATTCCAGCTGTACATCGGAGCCCAGGGGGGTGCCCAGCAGCTGGCTGGGGGCTCTTACCATCGGAGCAACTGGGGAATTCAATCGATTGCAGGATTAAAGCAAAGGCACGTTAGCAGGTGGAAAAAATTAAATAGTTTAATCATTCTGTTCGGAGGAACGTTAACAGTCTCCTTTCTGATACTGTCATTTATTTTTATTTACTGATTTATTTGCTTAATTGGGTCATATTTTAAATGTACATTTAAGGACTTACACTGAACGCTGAGCGACACTCGTTTGCTGACAGCCGGTGGAACATCGTTGGAGGCTATACACAAATAGGCTCCCATTTGGCGCCTCTCCAGACGCAGTAATCTTAGCGAAGATCCATTATATGACTCTACTATTGGATAAGAAATAACCGTTCAGCAAAATATTAATTCTCTTCTTCTCTTTGAAAACTAACCTTTCATGAGTTCTCGACTTCCGGGTTTCCGAATGAGTATCATTTCACCATCCTCCCGACGCCAAATGACACGCGGCTGGGGATTACCCGTCGCCTTGCATGTGAGTGTGGCATCCTCGCCCTCCTGCACTGCCAGATCGGCAGAGGACTCCTCATTTATAATATCTGGTGGAACTATTTGGGAAATATTACATTAATTTTAGTTTCTAGGGCTTGAGCTTTTGTTCTATACCTTGCACATCGATGCAACCGACTTGCTTTTTCATGGGGCTAGTATTGATTTGGCACATGTAGCATCCACGATCACTTTCTCGCAGTTTGCTTATTTTTAGTTTCCATCTGAGTATGGTTATAATTATTTAGGTGTATTTTAATGATATATTAAATTCATTAGAGCTTACGTATGCATGTCCTGGTGCATGACACTGATTCTAGCATTATGGGTCACCACGCGTCCTTGCAGGGCCAATACTGTTTGATCTGAGGCTCTCAGCCAGCCAACCTTTCAACAATAAGAGTATGATTTAGTATTATGTATACTATTCCGACAAAAAAAATATAAAGAATATATAGTTAAGAGGAAAACTTGGAAAAAGGAAATCGTTTGAGGTATTCCTTCTAGCGATCGGATGAATAATATTTTAAATAAAATAAAAAAAAAATAAAATTTTACTGGAGACCATATCACTACCATATCTCACGCATTCTTTTATCCCCAACTTGACAAAAACATACGCCATTTGAACAACTTGAGAAAATATCTAACAAAATATTTTTTTTTTTAATTTATATAATATTTATTATTTAATATTTATTTTAATGCAGAATCGTTGTGGAGAATCGATGTACAAATCGATTAAGGTATTCCGCTTATGAATCGGAAGAGTAATGGAGAAGTTATAGTCTTCTCAGTGGGCCATATGGGCCTACCCACAAATTTTGGAATTTTGAAGGGGATGCTCCATAAAATTTGACAAAAAATCTGAAAAATATTTTGTTTCCAAATTTTAATGCAGATTGGTGGAGAATCGATGTACAAATCGATTAAGGTATTCCGCTTATGAATCGGATGAGTAATAGAGAAGATATAGTCTTCTCAGACTAGTCTTCTGGGCCATATGGGCCTACCCACGATTTTTGGAATTTTGAAGGGAATGCTCCATAAAATTTGACAAAAAATCTAAAAAATATTTTGTTCCTAGATTTTAATGCAGATTGATGGAGAATCGATGTACAAATCGATTAAGGTATTCTGCTTATGAATCGGATGAGTAATAGAGAAGATATAGTCTTCTCAGTGGGCCATATGGGCCTACCCACGATTTTTGGAATTTTGAAGGGGATTCTCCATAAAATTTGACAAAAAATCTGAAAAATATTTTGTTTCCAAATTTTAATGCAGATTGGTGGAGAATCGATGTACAAATCGATTAAGGTATTCCGCTTATGAATCGGATGAGTAATAGAGAAGATATAGTCTTCTCAGACTAGTCTTCTGGGCCATATGGGCCTACCCACGATTTTTGGAATTTTGAAGGGAATGCTCCATAAAATTTGACAAAAAATCTAAAAAATATTTTGTTCCTAGATTTTAATGCAGATTGATGGAGAATCGATGTACAAATCGATTAAGGTATTCTGCTTATGAATCGGATGAGTAATAGAGAAGATATAGTCTTCTCAGTGGGCCATATGGGCCTACCCACGATTTTTCAAATTTCAAAGGGAATGCTCCATAAAATTTGACAAAAAATCTAAAAAATATTTTGTTCCTAGATTTTAATGCAGATTGGTGGAGAATCGATGTACAAATCGATTAAGGTATTCCGCTTATGAATCGGATGAGTAATAGAGAAGATATAGTCTTCTCAGTGGGCCATATGGGCCTACCCACGATTTTTTGAATTTTGAAGGGAATGCTCCATAAAATTTGACAAAAAATCTAAAAAATATTTTGTTCCTAGATTTTAATGCAGATTGATGGAGAATCGATGTACAAATCGATTAAGGTATTCTGCTTATGAATCGGATGAGTAATAGAGAAGATATAGTCTTCTCAGTGGGCCATATGGGCTTACCCACGATTTTTCAAATTTTAAAGGGGATGCTCCATAAAATTTGACAAAAAATCTGAAAAATATTTTGTTTCCAAATTTTAATGCAGATTGGTGGAGAATCGATGTACAAATCGAGTAAGGTATTCCGCTTATGAATCGGATGAGTAATAGAGAAGATATAGTCTTCTCAGACTAGTCTTCTGGGCCATATGGGCCTACCCACGATTTTTGGAATTTTGAAGGGAATGCTCCATAAAATTTGACAAAAAATCTAAAAAATATTTTGTTCCTAGATTTTAATGCAGATTGGTGGAGAATCGATGTACAAATCGATTAAGGTATTCCGCTTATGAATCGGATGAGTAATAGAGAAGATATAGTCTTCTCAGTGGGCCATATGGGCCTACCCACGATTTTTTGAATTTTGAAGGGGATGCTCCATAAAATTTGACAAAAAATCTAAAAAATAATTTGTTTCCAAATTTTAATGCAGATTGGTAGAGAATCGATGTACAAATCGATTAAGGTATTCCGCTTATGAATCGGATGAGTAATAGAGAAGATATAGTCTTCTCAGTGGGCCATATGGGCCTACCCACGATTTTTCAAATTTCAAAGGGGATGCTCCATGAAATTTGACAAAAAATCTAAAAAATATTTTGTTCCTAGATTTTAATGCAGATTGGTGGAGAATCGATGTACAAATCGATTAAGGTATTCCGCTTATGAATCGGATGAGTAATAGAGAAGATATAGTCTTCTCAGTGGGCCATATGGGCCTACCCACGATTTTTCAAATTTTAAAGGGGATGCTCCATAAAATTTGACAAAAAATCTGAAAAATATTTTGTTTCCAAATTTTAATGCAGATTGGTGGAGAATCGATGTACAAATCGAGTAAGGTATTCCGCTTATGAATCGGATGAGTAATAGAGAAGATATAGTCTTCTCAGACTTGTCTTCTGGGCCATATGGGCCTACCCACGATTTTTGGAATTTTGAAGGGGATGCTCCATAAAATTTGACAAAAAATCTGAAAAATATTTTGTTTCCAAATTTTAATGCAGATTGGTGGAGAATCGATGTACAAATCGATTAAGGTATTCCGCTTATGAATCGGATGAGTAATAGAGAAGATATAGTCTTCTCAGTGGGCCATATGGGCCTACCCACGATTTTTCAAATTTTAAAGGGGATGCTCCATAAAATTTGACAAAAAATCTGAAAAATATTTTGTTTCCAAATTTTAATGCAGATTGGTGGAGAATCGATGTACAAATCGATTAAGGTATTCCGCTTATGAATCGGATGAGTAATAGAGAAGATATAGTCTTCTCAGACTAGTCTTCTGGGCCATATGGGCCTACCCACGATTTTTGGAATTTTGAAGGGGATGCTCCATAAAATTTGACAAAAAATCTAAAAAATAATTTGTTTCTAGATTTAAATGCAGATTGGTGGAGAATCAATGTACAAATCGATTAAGGTATTCCGCTTATGAATCGGATGAGAAATGGAGAATATATAGACTTTCCAGTGGCTCATAAGGGTCTCCCCATGATTTTTCAAATTTCGAAGGGGACGCTCCATAAAATTTGACAAAAGGTAAAGAATAGACTTCAGCTTACTAGAAGTATTGACAAAATATAGTGGGTGATATTGTCATTCCCATGCATTCTTAAAATTTGTTTATACTCTCTTTTGATAAGTTTTAAGTTATAACAAAGATATTGAAATTAAAGCTTTTTAAAGTATTTGGTTACCTTATTCTTGCCCAGGTTTCGGACCGAGCATGCAAGGATGGCCTCGCGCCCTGCAGGATATGTGACGTTGTTGATGAACCCGATAAATTCCGGATCGGGATCCAGCTGGGAATTGCTTTCTGTGGTATGAATATAAATACGATATATTGAGACCTTTAGCTCCTTTTTTGATCATTCCGAAACCACTTACCGTGATGCTGGTTCTGGGCCGTGCCACTGCCGCATTTTGTGGCCATTATCAGGATGACAAACAGCGTCGATTGCAGCAGCTTCTCCATATTGTTGATGTCGTTGTTGCTATCGTTGTTGTTGTTATTGTTATTGTTGCTGTTGTTGCAGCTGTTGTTGGTGCAGCAGTTGTGTTGCTGCTGCTGCTGCTGTTGCGGTTCTTTTATTTGCTGCAGCAGCTGTTTCTGTGGCACTTTTGTTTTCCTATTATTTTATGGGTATTTTAGTTGCTATTTTCAGTTTTGTTTTTTTTGTGTATAGTTTTGTTGTTGCTGTTTTCTTCTTCTTCTATGGGACTCTCGTGGCAATTTCTATTTGCATTTGAATTTGAATGCGAATTTCTATTTCAATTCCGATTCCGATTGCGATTTCTATTTACCGCGTGTTTGTGCCAATTGGGCTTTGATTTTCAGCTGCCTCGGTTCACTGCTCTGTCCCCCTGCCACGCCCATTGACATCTGCAAGTAAACAAGAAATGCGAGAAAAACATCAGAAACACAATCCAAAGCGGCATCATCGGTTTAAATTTATTTCGCGACCAGCGATAAAGCGGAAAAATGCAGACTGGAAAAAAAGCTGGAAATCCGGCACAAAAGGCTGTTCAATTTAAGAGTATACTGTAGAGGGTTGATAGTCAGGAGCGTGGAGGACGTCGCCCATTGCCCATCGCTAACTTGATTATCAAGCGTTGCAACAAATTTGACGTTGCCTGCTTTTAGGGGCATCCAATATGGCTGCCGGGCAAGCTCAATCTCTCCGGGCATAACCCGCCGCCCACCACCCATTCCCGCCATTTTTGGAATCCCTGGCTCAGCCTCGACACAAAGTAAAAGGCAAATGCAATTTTCAACACAAACAAAAATTTATGACTCGACAGCATCCTTGGTCCATCCAACATCCAAGCAGTACCAGTACCAGCGCCAGCAGCAGCATCCTGGCGCTGCAGAACTTGCAATAAAAGAAGGCGGGCGACAAAGCGGTTAAAAAGGCGAAAGGTGCAAAATATGAATGTAAATATTAAAAAAGTTTTGAGGCTCGCAAACTAACGAGGTGTTCGCTCATTTGCCGCTAGCTGGTGGCAAGTAAGAACGCGCCACAAACTCGCTTCTCTTCGCACCCGCGTGGCATGTGTTGGGATGCTCGCCTCAATCCTCCCATATCCTTGAACTGGGGGCCACGACCCGCGCCCACATCGCCATGCGCTGTAATTTAATTCCGGTGTGAAATTGAGCGCTCTCCTAATAGTGAATTTGCACTAAACCAGTTAGCAAGTCGCCGGGCGCGCTGTCTTCTCCGGCCAACTTCTGACGAGGTGTCAATGCGATGCCCCGGGAACTTGGCCCGAGCTCCGCTTTCAAAACTCCGCCGGAGTTGCCAAGGTGCACTGGTGTGGTATGGCGACATTCAAAAGGCGGAAATGTGATTTACTTATTAAATTAGAGTTTCAGAAGGCGGTGGGAGTTGGATTTAAGGCTGGGTAAGGACCTTTGGCACGCCATGCAGTTGAGCTTGCATCGGGGTGATTGTTGCCACGGGGGCTGCAAAATCGTTAAGGACTGGCGAACCAGAGTGGGGAATCAATCTGCTTCCCTGCTAAGTGGATTAACTTATGGCTATTAAATTTAATTGTTTTCTCTCACCTCTTCACATACTTTGAATGGCTTTCTTCTGAGATAACAAAAGCATTCATTGTTATTTTACAAAGGTATTCTCTTTACCAAGAATTAAAGGTAATCTTACGGTGCTTAATATTTGCAATTAATGTGTCATTAACTAATTTTCCTTTATTTACCCTATGAATATTTCCCCAGGCATGCTTTTATCTTACATATCTACGATTTCTACTCATCAGTTATTAAATCCTTTGAAAAATAACTAAAGCAAGCTATTTCTCACGTATCTTTTAACTCCTTGATATCTAAATTATCGATATAACTGTTCTGACTATTTAAATCCAAATAAATGCAAATTTCGCACTTCTTTCAAGTCAATTAAATGAAACCTCTTCCAATTGATTGTCATTTTTAGTAGATTCAGGGAAAAATCCCAGCTATCTTAGCTGTTTGTTTCCGCTGCTGTTGGCGGAAAATTCCCCAGGCCTTAGCCTTCTCCTGGATGTCCTGGCTGTGCAACTGCAACCCATTCCGCTGATTGCCCGCCCGGCAGACAACATTTGCATTAGCACTCAAAAGACGGAATATTTAAGAGCGTCCCACAGTGCGAAAATAAATAAATTTGCTGTGTAAACAGAAGCGAGCGCAAAACGAGCAGTTGCAAAAACTGAACTGAGCAAAGAGAAGAATGAATGGGCTAAAAAATAAAGAAAAAAATTGTTTAAAAAACATGACAAAAAACTGCGCCCATCAAATGAAAAGAAGAAACTGCAAATCAGCGCAGTTGCAGCAAAGGTAAACTTCAGGCCTGGCCAAAAGCGAGTCCTGAGGTGGGGCAGCTGGTGTGTAAGGGAGGGTGCGGAGGAAGTGCAACTCGACAAGTGGCAGCAAGAGGTCGGCGGTGCAAGTGAAAGGAGCAAAAGGCGACAGCAAAGGAAACTAACACAGCGGAAAAGCCTTTTGAAGTTTCTCCGCTAACAACAAACTCTACAAAAACAACAGCGGCAGCAGCGTGAAAAACAAAAAAAAATCTAAAAAACTTCAAAACAACACAAGCGGCAGTTTAGCTTAGAAGTCCGAGGATTTAAATACCCTGCTCTTGAAATTCAATTTAAAGTTTTAATAATCTAATAAATTCTATTTCAACGCTTATATTAATTGACCGTTTTTTTCCAAACAGAAACTAACCAGAAAGTGTAGGCCCAAAGCAAACAACTATTTGTTTGGCTTGAATTGGCCAAATAAACAAAAAATATGAATAATGGTTTTTAAATTAAAATGTCATGACCACATTTGCTAATAATATTGGTCATTTAAATTCAATAAAATAAGTAAAGTAAATAATAAAATATTTCCCCAATATTGGTTTCAGAAAAAAGCAACCTGGAAACATAGAATGGGGTTAAAAAAACCAAACCAAGGCCAAATATGCAGAAATCATATTTTAGTTCACAATTATTGGATATTAAATTTTAATCAAACATATTATTAATTTTTTTTAATAGATTCTTCTGTGGGCTATGTTTCAATAGACCCATCTGTAGGCTGAGGACAAAGTTTTGGCCAAACAGGAAACACCCTTAGACTGGATCCCAAAGCAAGTGCAACAAGAACAACAGCAAACACTTGAGATTGGGCTGGAGAGGCTGGAGAGCGATGACGACGCAATGGAAAGTGGAAAAGCGGGAAAAGCTGGCTAACAGAGGGAGGTACGTATCAAAGTCGAGGGTCGAGGGTCGAGGTCAGTCGTGCAGGCAAATGGCAAAATGTTCGGCAAAGCAATTTGACTTAAAAATGCTTAGCACTTGCATATCCTGGCAGATCCTGGCAATAGCTTCGCTCGTCTTTCAGAGCCAGCTCAGCTAAATAAGGATAACAAAAGGAGACGACAGCGACAGGACAGGACAGCGAGTGCCACTGCGATTCCCGACAAGGACAAATAAAATAAGGAGTGGGCGTAGAGCCTTAAAGGATCACGAGCTGTGAGTGCGCTTAAGCTCATTTATTTAAATTAAAACAAACACTGCAGGCGCAAAGGCAGCACAGGCAGCACAGGACACTCCACTGCACCGGCTGGCAGATGGAAGGGGGCCTGCTTTTGAGGGCAGGGTGAGCTTGGCTAAGCCGCCAAAGCCTCGCCTCAGTGCATACATTGTGCATGTCCTTTTGCCTCGCTTTTTGTCTGCACTTGCCCTCCTGTGTGTGTTTGTGTGTGTGAGTGGGCCTGCGGGGCATATGAGTATTTGTTTGAGAGTGTGCGTCAGAACTTTGGCAACATTTCCGATTGCCAGTACCAGGAGGCAGGAGCAGGAGCTGGAGCAGGCACGTGGCACTAGCAAAATATTTTGTGCCATTTGTCCTTTTAGTCCTTTTTGTCATTTGTCCGGTGGCACAAACAGGGCAAATTGTTTGCAATAATGCGCGTCCCAGCCGGAGTGCGGCATTCTGCATTCTACATTTTGCAGGTGCGACGCCAGGTGCTGCTGCCAGGTGGGAGCTGCAGAGTTCCAGGGCCCACCGCTGTGCCGGCCAAATGAATTTCACTCGCATTTGTAAGTGCCATTGAATAACAATAAAAACAAAAGCCTCTCCCCAAAAAAGCAACACCAGCAATAAGTGGGATTGGCTTTACACGGCTGCCAGTTTAATGTTTTTGCGTGGCCATGTTCCGCGGGGATTGTAATTAACAGGTGAAAAAAGAGTGCCATAAGATGTTCATAATAATGGAACGAATTGTAACTGAATTTTGGAAAAAAATATTATTTATTACCTGGTAAGAAGTAAGGCTTTGAGTTACAACTGAATCATGCAAAAAAAGGTCTTTTAACGGTAAATAAAAAGTAAAGCTGTTTGATAGCATAATTTTTAAAAGAGAAAAAATAATTTAATATAAATTAATATATTTAATATCTTATAACCTCATTTAACCAAATCAATTAAAAAGTCATTAATTAATTATTATACTATTTGTTTAATATGGTTGATATAAAAATCTCTTTAATGTTAGATGGAATTGCATTTGCGTAATTAAGCCTACTTCAAGTTGAAATTAAAGCGGAAATAAAACCGTTTTGATCAAGAGCTAGCTATTGAATTGCAATTATCGTTTTCTGCGGCAAACAAACATCTATTATGCACTTGCAACAAAGCCCGTTGCAATGCCAACAAAGATGACAAAATGCAATAATTTGTGTTGCTGCAAAGTTGAAGCGGAAAATCGCAAAATGAAAATGTTAATTGATTCTCGTTTTTTTTTTTTCGTTCCACCTACTTTTTGCACATAGCACTGGTGTTGTTTCTTTTGCAGCTTTTATTTGTTGTAGTTGGCAGAAAAGTTTTGTCAATGGGATTTTTTATTGCAGTCTGTAAAAGTTTTTATGTGCCACCATTAGTAGCCAATTATTGGTGACTTAAGCAGCGAAGAGGGGCAAGCAGTGATGGGGCATTGCAAATTTATATTCCATGTCAGCGGCTTTCGACTGCAGCTGGGGGCAGCAAAAAAATAAAATAAGAAAAAAAACAAAGAACTCTAGAAAAAGACAAGCCGGAATGGCCGATAATGAGCATCTAATAACTCAATTTGGGCCAAGTCAAGGATAAGAACGCTGGCGCGTTGGCACGAGGCGAGGGGGCGGCGAGTGCGACACTAATTAAAACCGCTGCAAATGGGAAATGGCTGCAGTTGTCGGCGCTTCTCTTAGCTTAATTAAACATTGCCGCTTGACTTTTAATTGATTGTGAACAAACTGAAAAGCTTGCAGCAGACAAATAAACAATTTAACTAAATGCGCCGCAAAGTAGGCAACCAGTCAGGCACCAGTAACAGCGGGTTTTTATGGCCTGTG